TTCAGCTCAAGCCCACAGCGATCGGAGGAGCAGCGGGCTGCCCAGCAGGGCGGCCGAGGAGCTGCTTCTGGAGTCAGGCAGAGAACATCCTCCCCCCGGCTGATGGCGCCGCGCTCTCTGCTGCACAAGGAGAATGAAACGCTTTCCCCCGACTGTACCTGGACCACCTGGGTGAAACAAGGGGACAGTTTCTGATGGAAAAATGACCATTTCCTCCTGCAAACACCATATAGATCCCTTAGCAGCCTCCCTCTCCCCAATTAAACCTCTCATTAGATCCCACTGTTAGAGCCTTGATCTCACTGTTGCCACTGTTGCCTTCACTGTCTATATTGCACCAGCAAGCTCTTTGAGGCAGGGCCCTGGCATGACTGCGTTCACAACATGCACAATTACCATGCGATGCAAGCAACAAAGACTAACTCTGCTACCTGGCCTTGCAGCATGTATGCTAGATGTAAGCTACCGCTTCAAGGGGGTTGCTAGCCAATGGCAGTGCTGCATCTCGTCCTGGCTGGGCAGCACGGGTGGAGCAGAAGCAGTACACATTGGGGGGCATGTGAAGCAGAGAGGTGGGCAGATTCCTCTCGGGGCAGTCAGCGATCCCTGCTGGAACAGAATACAGCTGCATACCTTCTCCACGGCTCAGGCCGCCGTGGGTCAGTCTCTCCACTGGCTCCCTCTCGCTTTCAATGCCAATTTAACGCCTTGTTCCTAATTTTAAAAACAATTTATAGCCCAACCCCCAGCTACATCAATGACTGAATTCTGATCCATGAACTACTGTAACAGCTGTGCTTTTCAGGGACAATGTGGAGCGCTAAGCCCAGGACAAAGCACGCAGGACTGGGCAGGGGACAAAGCAATCTTCCAAGCAGAATGGGGAAATCCTGAATCGGACCATCTTTAGGAAAGGCTGCAAAACTTTCCTTTCTGAGAAGCCCTTTCCACCACAAGAATGACACACACAGCACGACATCCCCTCTACAAGCCCCTACCAGCAAAAAAAGAAAAACCTCCCCCAGCCAGAGTTTGGGTCCTGAAAATGGAGAAATGCCAGAGACCTCTACTAGGGACTTCACTATTGCTACTGATTTTACACTGAAGGTGTCCAGATACTATCATGATGAGTGGCAGGATAAAATCCTAAGATACGATATGAGCTCTGAGCAGCCAAGTCCCCCAGCCGTTTCGCAGTTAATGTGACTAGTGCCAACGCACCACTATGGCAAGAGGAGAAATGGCCGGAGCCCCATCTGGATTCTCCAAGCAGGAGAGGTCGCCGTTCCTAGCCATGCAAAGCAACCGCTCAATCTAGCATAGGCAGTGGAGGAAGCTGCTCAACCAGGCACAGCTACCATCATGTGCTGGGATGGCACAAGATTCCCCACCTAGCAAAGAGCAAGGCAACCAGATTCAGAGAGGATCCACGAGACTGGCAAACCCCTCCCAGCTCCAATCAGCCCCCAACCAACCTTGGATTCCCAGTCTCCCAGAGCACCCCCCTTCCCAACCAAAAGCCCTAACTCCAGACCTGCTACTAAATACCAATAGCTATCAAATGCAGCAAGATAGAGCCTGAGGTAAGGTCATAGTCACCAGTTGTTGCCATGATGACCAGCCTGTTAGAGATTCACTGAGTGACAGAAGCTACTTATGTTTGCAAAATACATATCTTCTGAAATCAGGCCGATTTGCCTGTCACTGGCTGAGCAGAGTGCGCAGTGCAAAGCAGCGTATACCAACGCCAGAGTGAACACCTTGTGATCCTCTCTCATTCAATTCCCTGGAAAGAGGAGCTCCAGTCACCCTTTCTAAGAACAGGGCAGCAGCTCATAAAACTGGACGGCAGAAAAACCTAAAACGGATCCTAACAAATATTTCTCTACACAGCACAGTATTAACCTGTGGAACTCACTGCCACAAGATATCACATAGTTCAAGAACTTATTAGGAGACCTAAATAAAAAGGATGAGAGGTTTATATGGATGAGGGCTATAAATCCTCCTGCTCCATGCAACAGCCAACCACTGACTGACAGCAGTTAGGTAAAAATATCCCTTGTGGGCAGGTCATTCCATAACTGAAGTCTCTTTGCACCTTCCTCTGAAGCAACTGGTACTGGCCATGTCAGAGCCAGGATACCAGGCTAGATAGGTCCCTGTTCTGATTTGGCCTGGCAATGTCTGTCTTCCTAAGAGACTTTTCAGTCTGGGGTCCCTCAGTGCAAAGCAGAACCAGCACTAGGGGAATTTTCAAATTTGATCTCTGAAATGATTTCAAAATCCATGGTAGTTGCTGGTTAGTTACATAAATCACCCAATCAGGAAGCAGGAACAATACCATGTGACTTCTACTGCTAACCAGTAAAGAACCTGATTTCACAAACTCAGTGGGCGAACCACCCATAGGGCGAGAATAATACGCAGGAAGAATTTGGGAACAGTTCTGAATCACGAATGAGCCCAGGAACTTCATGCTAGGGGTGCTTTGGCCACTCCCAAATAATCAGCAGTCCTCACTGGAGAACCCCCACTAGTCTCCCTCCTGAACCCCCCCCTTCCCTCATAGCCCAATTAGATATATCTCCCACCCTGCAGGCATCCTAGGACAATCAAAAGCACACACAACTCTTTGAGGCCCTGTGATTTTTTGGGCAATTCACAGGCTACCCCTTTTTTCTTCACCAGCACCCCACCATCCCTAGCCCCTTCCCCACCTATAGTTCAGGGACCCAAAGATCCTAAAGCCAGTTCAGACCCCACTCTGGAGGGGGAGGGTAATAACTGCACCCTATCGCTGAGATCTCAGGCTGCATGCTGCCCTGATCCCAGCCAGATGTATCCTTAATAAGGCAATAAATGCTGCTATCAACTGGGAAGTGATGAGTCAGTGGTCTCTGGCAGAGAGCTTAGCCAGTTTCACTTCATAGCCATAAAAAAAACAGCTCCCCTGGTTAAAGTCCAATTCGTACAGAAGAGGAATTTGCTTTAACAATCCCAAAGGGTACTAAGCAGCAGGAGACCGAGCTCCCAGCCCCCCTCTTGCTAGATTATTAATCCAAAGATTCAAACAGATATGTGCTCTCCAGCTTTCTGCCCAACATGATGCCTCCAACGATACTGGCAGAGCATGCGTTGTAAACCATCCACTGCACTGTTCCCGGCTACGTGACCCATTGGAAATGCAGGAGACAGGCTCATGGATGTCTCAAGTTTGGGAAGCTCAGCTCACCTCTTGCCCTGGAGGCAAGCAAGCTTTGTCACTGAGAGCAGAGAGAGATGTAAACACAGACCACTCACATCTACCCAAATAAAACCTCCACAGCAAGGTGTCACACAGAGGAGGTCCATCATGTCCTGTATCCTGGCACCTGAGGCTCCAAGAGGAAGGGGAAAGAAAAGCCTCATGATGTCCCAGGCCAATTGTGCATTGCTGCACAGGAGGGACACAGTTCCTTCCTGACCCCTGAAAAGTGATCATTGAATGCCCTGAAGCATGGCATTCAATCATCCCTATCTTAAATCTCAACCTCTGTTGCTCACCCCCAAGGCATCAATTATCAGAGGGGTAGCCGTGTTAGTCTGGATCTGTAAAAAGCAACAAAGAGTCCTGTGGCACCTTATAGACTAACAGATGTATTGGAGCATAAGCTTTCGTGGGTGAATACGTCTAACATGTATTGGAGCATAAGCTTTCGTGGGTGAATACGTCTGACGAAGTGGGTATTCGCCCACGAAAGCTTATGCTCCAATACATCTGTTAGTCTATAAGGTGCCACAGGACCCCAAGGCATGGTACACTGCAGACTAGAGAGAAAGCTGTTTACCTTGCTACCCCTTTCAGCAGCACTCAGGGTAGAAGGAACGCCATATCACTCCCCAGCAGAGGGAAGTGGATTCATTCCACAGGGCTATCGGTCTTTTTGCACCATTTGGTCTTTGGCATCTTCCTAGTGGGTATTTGTAGCTCTGTGGACCGCAGGATCCTGGGAGCTAGTATACGGCCAGTCCATTTCACTTACAATGTTACTAAAGTCAAGTACCATTTGAATCACTGGACGGTACCCAGGGGAGCTGAGATGCATGCTCAGACGGATGCACAGTGCAGCAAAGCAGGCAGATGGGGGTGAGAAGAGAACTGTGGGTGGGGGATGGGGTCAAGAGGAGGCCCAGTTTGCTAAGGGTTGTTTGGGGGCATGATCCCTGCTAAATGGCTCAGAAAGGGGCTGGCTGCTCCTTTTGTTAAATGAGGGGTTCACCACCCCTCCTTGTGAAGCAGCTGGAGCGTAGCAGGCCCTGCCTGGGGAACAGGCCCTCCCGGGGGGGCTGGCTCCAGTTAGAAACCCCGATGACAAGAACTGTGGTTAATGAAACAAGGGGAGGGTAGAGGATGAGACAAGGCAGCCCCCTCCAGGGAAGGGACAGAAGGGGGGCGTGTGGCACCATCTGTGCCCTCAGCAGAAGCCCAGCATAGGGCTGATGCGCTAATGCTGGTCCTGCCACACGGCGCTCCCTCCCTCCCTCCCCTGGCACAGGGCAGGGGCTCTGGGCTCTCGTCAGCCGCCCCAGTAGAGAGCTACTGCCTGAGCCAAGCAGGCTGAGGGCTCTGGAGCCAGGCTGGGGGCAGGCACCGCCCTGCAGGGGGAATGGGAGCCCGGTTCAGAGCAGGGCAGCCAGGCTGAGCGCAGGGATAAAGCTTAGGGGCACTTCTTTGGCAGAGCTCAGTGTGTAATGAAAGAGGTGCTGGGGCACCAGCGATTGTTTTACATTCACAACTGAGTAGGGGGGGGGGTTAGTCGGTGTCCACAAAACCCACCAGGAGGCTGCTGGCACTTTCAAGACCAAATACATCGGTTCGTCTGTCAAGTGCCACCAGACTCCGCCTTGTTTCCAGCCCTGCCAGGGCCCGACGGGCCGGGGCTCGGCCCTGCCAGGCAAGCCCCGCTCCCCCAGCCCCAGCCGCAGGGCCCCTCCCAGGCAGCCCCGGGGGCGCCCACCTGCAGCTCCTCGAAGGCGTCGTCCACGCTGGTGACCTGGTGCTGCTCGTGCACGGCGGGCTCGTCGCAGAAGAAGCAGAGCACGGCGCGGTCCGTCAGGCAGAAGAGCTTCACCTTCTCGTGGTCCTTGCAGGGCGCGGAGCCGCGCCGCGCGCGCAGGATGGCGTCCAGCGGGAAGGCCGCGTAGCGCTCCACGATGTTGGCGAGCTTGAGGCTCGGCGCCAGCGTGGGCTCGGCGAAGGTGCGGCGGCACTCGGGGCAGTCGCGGGCGCCCTGGCGCTCCTGCCGGACCCAGTGCTCCGTGATGCATTTCCGGCAGAAGTAGTGCTCGCAGCCGAAGCTCACCGGGTCCTGGTAGATGCTCAGGCAGATGGAGCAGAGCAGCTCGTCTTTCAGGCTGCAGGCCATGGCGCCCGGGGGGCAGGCGCCGCGGGTCCGCAGGGCCCTAACGCCGGGAGCGGCTCTGCCCCCGGCACGGGCTCCTCGCGCCTCCCCCGGCGGGGGTCAGCCGCCGAGCTGCGCCCCCCGGGCAGCCGGCCCCGGCTCGGGGAGCGGGTCCGCCCCCGCAGCGCGCCCACGCCCAGCCTTTGTGTCCCTGCTTCCGCGGAGCCGGGCGGCCACCGGCGCTTCGTGTCCACACCCCCCGGGGGCCGACCCGAGCTGGGGGCGCTGCCTTGGGGGGTCTCGGGCCCGCTGTGTCCTCCGGACTCTCCCGCGGCTCCAGCTCGGGGAGCGGCGCCGGCCGGCAGCAGCTAGCGCGGAACCAGCCAAGCCCGGCTCGCTGGCAGGGGCAGGGGCGGGGGGGCTCGCCGCGCAGCTGCCCGGACAAAGGGAGACCGCGGGGCTCCGCGCCGTGTCCCCGCACCTGCTCTCCCCGTTCGTCAGTGGCGGCGGCCGGGGAATTTCCTCCTAGTTCTGCGCACTGGCTGGGCGGGGGCGGGGAGGGGGCTAAAGGCGCAGGGATCCCGGGAGCCGGGGGCGGGCTGGGGGCGCTCCTCCCGCTGACATGGTGCCGCGGGCTGCAGCCGAGCCCACGCGGCGGGCCCGTCCGAGGATCGTCCGCTCCTGACAGCGATACGCGGAGCCCGCAAGAGGCCCTGGCCGCAGAACAATGCGGGAAGCAGCCCGCACCCCCCGCCGGCCCCCTGCACGTGTGTGGCGCCTGCTGCCTCCTCGGCACGGGGAAGCCTGCAGTGCCCAGCCCCCCTGGGAGCTCGGAGTTGCCCCCCATTCGGGGGGGGGGGTGCATGGGACCCGGCCGCAGCACACAGCTGACTGCTCGGGGGGCGGGGAGGAGGAGGCGCAGGCTGTGCCCAGCGGGGGTCAGTGTCCCCTACATGTGCCCTGCGGCCCCCAATCTCAGCACAGCCCACACGCGTCCGGACTCACTCGGGAGCTGGCGGGGGAAATTCCAAGAGGAAAATGTTTGGTTGGAATTTGCTGATTTGGCGAAGTCGTGGGACTGGTTCCATTTCGCCCAAACTCGCAGAAATCAGGCAGGTTCCCCGCTCGGCTCCTAGCAGCCCGCCGGGCAGGTTGCTGGGTGCTAGCCAGGCGCAGTACCCTCGCCCTGCAGCTGGGGCCCCCCCCCCCCCCCCCCGGGAATTTAGAACTTCGGGGCTTGGTTCCAAATCGGACCCAAACCACATTCTGACATATGGAAACCCCCCCTGAAAGGGAAGGAGTGAGTCCAGCTCTAGTTACCCATTTCAGGGGCTTCCCCTGCCTGAGACCCCGCCACTGTCTGTGGCTTAGTGGGTGCACCCGCCCTGCTGCCAACCCTAAAGGTTCAAAAATCATGCCTCAGATCCCCACAATCATCAGATGGTTTAAATGATTCGGGGTTTTTTTCCTCACTCCCCAACCCCCCCATTGCATAGGGTGGGGCAGTTATGGCTCTGCCAGCTCCCCCCCCCCCATGCACAGTGCTGGGGCAGTTACAGCTCTGCCCCCCCAAACACAGTGCTGGGGCAGTTTTGGCTCTGCCAGCCCCACCCCTCCCCCATGCACAGTGCTGGGGCAGTTACAGCTCTGCCCCCCCCCCATACACAGTCCTGGGGCAGTTTTGGCTCTGCCAGCCCCGCCCCTCCCCCATTCACAGTGCTGGGGCAGTTACAGCTCTGCCAGCCCCTCTTTCCCCCATTGGAAGTGAGGGCAGTTGGGTCCCAGTTACACCACACTCCCAGTCCCATTCCCAGCTCTGCCCCACCTGCAACTGTGGGGCCCTTGAGCCCTCCTCCAGGTCTAGGGCAGTAGCCACAGTGGGTTCCTCTTCTCCCCCTTCCCACACCTGGGTGGAGGCAGCTCCAGGGCTCTTCACCCGCCTCTCCAGGGAAGGCAGGGCTGCTCCTCTCCCTCCTCCCATACCCAAAACTCCTCGGGCTCCTGAGGGGAGGGGGGAGAGTGCTGCATGCATCCTGCAGCAGCTCTGATGGGTTGCTTTTCCCGGGAGGATGAAGAACAGAGGGGGTTTCCCCTGGGCGGGGTTGGAAATCCCTTAGGGCTGAAGCTTCTGCTGTAATTGATTTGCTCCAGCAAAGGTCAAAATCCCTGCAACTAGAGAGTAGGCATTTGTCCCTGCCATATCACTGGGCCTGAGGTCCCAATAAACAGAGAAAGCAGCAACTGCCTTGGCTCAAACACAGGTGGGATCCTGACAGCCCTAAGAGCCAGATCCGTAAAGGTATTTAGGCTCCTAACTCCCATTACAATCAACAGCGTATGTCCCATTGACAACGGGGCTTGTGCTCCTAAATCAATCAGTTGCTTTGGAAAAGACCACTCTCCTCTCTGGTAGTTCTAGTCCCCTTATATGTTACTTGTAACAGCGAATACATTTTCAGACCAAGGAGTGATTTTTAAATTGTCCTTCTAAGCTTTAAAGCCTCCCTCAGTCTCCCAAGATAACTATCGTTGTCCCAATTTCATCAGCGGGGCTACTCAGCTACTGAGATGACTTGCCCAATAGCAGTGGTGGAACCAGGGCAGGAACCTAGATCACAGTCCTTCCCATAGCTGGGAGCAGAACCCAGGAGTCCTGACTTCTAGTTCCCCGCTTTAATGACTAGAGACCACACAACATGTGTGTCTGGTGATACTACAGAGCATGAGACCACAGCCTGAAGCTGGATTTAGAGCCTTAACGGAGGGACATTTCAGTGGCTAGGAGGGGACAGTATTTAATGGTATACTTGATTATAAAATACAATGTTCTTTTTTGTTTTATCCCTATCCCTTGAAACCATTTCCCACATTGTATCTTTGCTTCTCTGTACCATATGCTTTATTTCAAGCCCCTTCCATCTATCTATCTGTCCCTATACAGTCCTTCTATCTATCCATCTATCTATCCCTATACTGCCCACTATCTAATCTGACCCGAGTATTTCAACCTCACCTCTTTGTACTGACCTATCTATTATTTTTTACAGTATGTGTATAGTGCCATTGTTGTGAATCTAATTATCTATTTATCTTCTTCCCCCACATCTGTCTGGCCCCTCTTCCAGCCCCCCTCACCTATCCCCTCGCTTGGCAGTTTGAAATCTGACAACGATTTGCATCCTAAAAAGTTCCTTAAGGAGACTGTTGTTCCTTACTTTACAGATGCCACATTCTTATTACGACAACAAACGCTGAGCAATTATAAGGCTGGAAATCCAAATCCAAACAGCGTATTACCGATATCCAGGCCTAGTGACAGTGTAATCAGACCAGAATCAGGTAACAGGCACCAGATGCGTCTCGGACTCCAGATGAGGATGCTCAGCATGTAGCCTGCGTGTGGACGATGGGAAATGAAGTCTGCAGCACATCCTAAGACATTGTTTCCCCACCGACGGCACCAGGGACACAACGTTTGAAAGGGAGCTGTGACTTCTGAGCCAGAGACACAAGAGAGGAGCTGCTGGGAGTGCAGCTGTGTGACTGAGAGAGGCTGGTCCTCTGGGAGGAAAGCCACTGAGTTCACAGCTGGGAAGGCTGTGCCCTCTCTGAATGCTGGCAGGATCTGCAGCAGCCCCAGTCTCCTTCAGCAGCTCCCTAGAGAGATGTAGCCCAGCTGGCCTCCGCTTCGGGGGAAACATCAATCACAGGCCTTTCAAGCTCCAGTGAGGATAACGACATTGATGGAAACCATGACCGTGAGTGGAGCTGAATGATGATAGCTTGTGAGAGGAAATCAAAAGCTGTCCGTCTCAGACTCCCTGATTGAACCTGATTGTTGTGTCCACAGCACCCACAGGAGCTTGGGGAAGCGAGGAGTCAAGTGAGAATCCAAAGGCTGGCTCTCGCTTTCTGCTCTATGGGAGTGACTGGTGCAGGGACTAGCCCAGAGCAGGTTTAGAACTCAGAGCTGGATGGAGAATAAGGATGGTTTCTTTACAGCACATTTTCCGTCCACCTTTAAATCAGATCAGGTCATGACAGGCCGGCTTCATCTCAGCCTTCCATGACACTGCTGCCATGAGAGGACAGTCCGTCACACTGCTACCCGGGGCTGCCAAGTGATTTCTGGCTCCAAAGACTTGTAGACAACCCCCCACCTCTCAGGCTGTGAGACTAAATTCCTTCACATCTGCAAAATGAGGTGTTCAGCTGGAAGGGGCTGTTGGTCCATCTCACTCTCTGCTCACCCATCCCTTTCCACAGCATTCCCTCCTCCCCTCCCTTTCCCAGTTCTTCTCTGCTGTCTCCCACCCTGGCTTGCCCTGGCAATAGCCACTGGGTAGGCACCTTCTACTGGCAGCAATGCCCGGGTGCTGATTGGGCACACTTTGTGCTGCCACCACACCTGGAGCACTTCCTATGAGCAGCTCTGCAGCAATCCACATGTGCCTGATGTACCCTGTGTTCACACAGTGCGGCTCTTTGATGAGGCTGCTGCTGCCTGCAGGGGACCTTGTCCTTGAGCTCAGGCACTAGAGACTCTGGGTCTGAGATCCCCAGGTCGTGCGTTCAGTCCCTGTAGGTGATGAGTTCACCAGCAATTGTATTACCCAGGCTGGATGAGCAGCACTGAGTGGAGGGGAACTGGTCCCTACAATTACCCTGCTGCTGCTCAGAGTCCAGTGATGGTATCAGGTCACCAGCACAAAAATACTGCCCTGGTGTCAATAGTTCTTGAGACTGCACACTGGGAGGCGTGGCAAATTCCCCAACAAGCCCAGGGTAATGACCACTGCTCACAGGCAGTCAGAGCTGATTGTGATCATCAATATTTGTTGAGCACTAGCATCATGCTCAGCCTGGCATCAAACATCCGGGAGGGCCCAGTCCCGGCCCCAAGCTACATAAGCAACTGGATAGGTTGGCTGCCTCCTTTCTTCATCCCCCAGGTGCATATACACCTTCCTCATCTTTGCCTTCTCTAACCCTTCCCACCGTCCGCTGTGTAGGGTCAATAGGGTCTGGGCCCCATGATCAG